TGGGCACGCACACACACGCGCCTGGCGTGAGTTTAAGCCACTGAGTCTAGGACTCAAACCGTGGTTGACTACATGGGAGTCCAGTGACATAACCATTATGCTATCTGCTGGTCCTCCATGTGTAATTTTTAAAGGATCTGCTAAATTGCTTTCTAGAGGGTCTGCAGCCTTTTACACGCCAACCAGCAAATCCCTGAGTGATCCAGTTTCTTCACATCCCGACCAGCATTTGGTGTTGTGACTATTTTTTATTTTAACCATTCTCTTAGATCCAGTGATGTTTCATTGTGGTTTTGGCTTTAGTTTGTACATTCTTAAAGGCTCAGGAAGCTACGTACATTTTCACATGCGTACCAGCCATCTGTGTATCCTCCTCAGTGGCGTTTCCGTTCATGACTTCTGTCCTTCCTAACTGGATTGTCTATTACATTGAGTGTTGAGGTTCTTTATATAGTCTATATGTATTCTACATAGCCATTGTTGAGGATATGATTTGTAAATATATTCTCCCAGGCTGTGGTTTTACACGTCTATCTTTTTAACTGAGTCTTTTGCAGAGTAAATTTTAAATTTTGATTAAGACCGGTGCATTGTTTCTTTCCTTTCATATCTTGTGCTTTGGAGGTCAACTCTAAGAACTCTTGCCCTAACCCTAGAACCCAAAGATTTTCTCATTTTTTTAAAGAAAAGATTTATAGTTTATATTTTGCATTTAAGTCTATGATCCATTTTGAATTAATTTTTTTTGGTTTTGTTTATGTAGTTCTTCCATGAGGAAGAAAAATAGAGGAAGACAGGGAGAAGAACTGCACCGCAACATTGAATGTTGCCTCAGTTTACCCCCAGATTCAGGCAGCCCAGGGCGGGCATCTGTAGGCCTGGCGTACTCAGGGATTACTATATACCCAAAAGTCTTCTTTTTTCTTTCTTTTTTTTTTTTTTTGAGAGGTTTTTGCTATAGGGTGTGTGCGCTCTCCAGAAAGACAGAGAGAGATAGAGAGATAGAAAGCAAGAAATCACCCCCCAGTGGAGATTTCCCTGTCCACCCTCGGACAACCTCCCGTTATCAACATCCCCATTAAAGGGGACGTTGTTGCAGCTGTTGCCCCCACGTCAGGCATCAGCTTACCCAAAGTCCATGGTCATTAGAATTCTGTAAGCTTTCAGAATCTGGGCATTTCAAGTCAGTAATGATCAAAGGCAATATTTAAGAAAATATATATATTTGGATGTTTCATTTCACTTTACATGCCACTGTATTACTTTAAATTAATTGACATATTGCTTTTAGGTGACTTTTTAAAAATTCTGTTGCCAGGGCCAGCAGATGGCGTAGTGGTTACATGGCTGGACTCCCACATGCCATCACCAGTTTGAGTCCTGGACCTGACAGCTTGAAACTCAAACGTTGGGTGTGTATGTTTGCACGTGTGTGCCCAAGCTCCTGAGAGGAGAATGCAGGACAAGGGATTGTGGTGTGACTATCTCCCCGGGGGGGTGATAAAATTCTTATTGCCAATAAATGATCTCTAAAATATTTTGCATAAAACACATTCTCTGTATGATCTACAAAAGGAAAAACCTAAAAATCTAATATGGATATTTAGAAGTAAATAAAATCCTTTCTGGAAAAAAAAAGTCACTTTTGGTGTTGTACATTCTGCGGGTCTGGACAAATGTATCCACCATTACAGTATCATAGAGAGCATTTTCACTATCACTAAAATACTCTGTGCCCTACTACAACTGATTAAAAAAATAATAATTTAAAGCACGTGTGCATGTGGGTGGTGTGTTTCAGATGGGGTCTTGCTGTGTTTTGATCCTCTTCTTCAGCCTCTCAGGTAGCTGAGACCACAGATGTGTGCCATGGCACCTGGTCTTTCAGGGTAAGGTGCGAATCAATTCCAGGCTTCCCGTGTGGCCTCAGTCTACCGAGCAGCGGTGCCCAGAATTCTGAATGTATGTCTTGTACTCTGTGATTTTTGCTGGACTCACTTGTTAATTCTAGAAGATCCTTCTGTCAGTTCAGTGGAGGACTCTGTAAACAGTCACGTCCTATGTACACAGGGACAGTTCATTCCTCCCTTTTGGTCTGTGTGCCCCTTGCTTCTTTTCTAGCCTCACGCTTTGGCTAGAACTTGTCGCACTGCATCCTCACCGTGTGAGAATGTGGCCCTCATTTTGCTCCCGATTTTAGAAGTAGAGCCTTGAGGTTTCACCATTGGTAAAGGCTTGTTTTAACATTATAAACAATCTTTCTTTCCTTTTTCCCCAAAAGAGAAGATGAGAAAGAGTACCCTGTGAGGGTCTTGGTGATGCAATCCTCTCCCAGCCTCTGCCAGCCCTGGATTATGGGCAAGTGTGTGTCTGGTGTGCTGGGGAGGTCTCTGGACTTGAACCAGGAACTTTCTCATGTAGGATTGCCTCACAAAGCATTGTGTTTTGCTGCTGCTCCACCATCTGGACCCCAGATTGTAGGTTTTTAAACAGATGTTCTTTATCAGATTAAGAGAGCTCTTCTCTAGTCCAATTTTTCTGAGAGTTTAAATCATAAAATCAGTGTTGAATTTTGCAATTAATGTGATCGTGTGTTTTTTTCTTTAATCTTTTTTATGGTGGATTATACTGATTGATTTTAAAATATCAAAACAACCTAGCATATCAAGAAAAATAAATCCTACTTTGTAGTGTATAATTCTTTTTGGATACTGCTAAATCTATTTGGTAAAATGTTCCCATCCATACTTATGAAAAATATTGGTCTGTTGTTTTCTTTTCTTTTTTTTTTGTACTGTTTGGCATTTATATCAAGGTAATGTTAACTTTGTAAACTGAATTAAGAAATGTGCGTTCTTCTATTTTCTGAAAGAAATTGCATGGAATTGGTATAAATTCTTTATTCAATATTGTGAAAAATTCTTTAGTGAAGTCTTCTGGACTTGAAGATTTTGTTTTAGAAATTTCCAAATTCAACTCTTTTTTTTTTTTCTTTTTTAAGTTACAGGATGTTTTAGTAGCTATGAGATTATTCGGACTATTTCATACTGGGCAAATTGTGGTTATTTGCTTTTCTTAAGGGAGCTGCTCACTTCATCTAAGTTGCTAACCGTGTGTGTGTGTGTGTGTGTGTGTGTGTGTGTGTGTGTGTTAGTCCTGGTCCCGTATGACTTCGATGGCTGCAGGGCCTGTGGGGAGGGTGCTCTTCTATTTCTGCCATGGCTATTTGAGCACTCTGGGCTGCAGTTTGGGGCAAATGGAGAGGTTTAGTCAAGTAAGATGGCTTTGATCTCTGAAAACCTCCCACAGAGCAAACCACTGCATCTCTGAACAATACACGCGCCTACTCATTTCAAGCAACTGTTTATTTCCAGGCTCCCCATTGTAAGGCACTTTAGTGTCATATTTGAGATTGGAATTCATACTCCTACCACAGTCCTTTAGGTGTTGCTTAGAGTTTAGTTTAGTTTTGTTTTTGAGAGATTTTGCTGTAGGGTGCATGTGCTCAGTGGAGAGAAAGAGACAGAAAACAAGAAAACCCCCCCCCCCCCCAAGGGAATGGCCACACAGAATTCCCTCCTCCTTTCTCCTTGGGATTTTGGACATGCACGCTCATGTACCCGGCATGAGTTTCAAGCTGCTGTGTCCAGGTCTTGAACCGTGGTTGGCCACGTGAGAGTCCGGTGCCTTAACCAGTACATCACCTGCTGGCCCCAGAGTTTAGTTTTTTTTTTTTTACTAGTAACAGAAAAGTGGTAAAGAGTCGAAGAACTTATTTTTAAAAATCAGTTATTTTAGGGACTAGCAGATGATGTAATGGTTATGTTGCTGGACTCCCATGTAGTCGACCATGGTTCCAGTTCCAGACTGAGCTGCTTAAAACTCATGCCGGGTGCATGTGTGTGCATGCCCAAGATCCTGAGAGGAGAATGGAAGAAAGGGATTGTGGCGTGGCCGTCCCCCCTGGGGGTAATTTCTCACTTTCTATCTCTGTCTCTCTAACGAGTGCATACACCCTATAGCAAAAATCTCTCAAAAATTTATTTAAATCAATTACTTTATAGAATAAGCTAATTTATACATTTTCTTTCTTTTTTGAGAGTTCTTTTTTATATTTATTTATTTTTATTTATTTACTTATTTTTGTTACAGGGCGTGTGTGCTTGCCAGAAAGACAGAGAGACAGAAAGTGAGAAATAAGCTCCCAAGGGGGATGGCCACGTCACAATCCCTTCTCCTCCATTCTCCTCTCAGAATCCTGGGCACGCACGCCCATGCTCCCGGCGTGAGTTAAGCCACCACCAGGTCCAGGACTCGAACCACGGTCGACTACATGGGAGTCCAGTGACATAACCATTATGCTAACTGCTGGTCCCACTAATTTATATTTTTATAGAGATGACTCGATCATTTGTTCTCAATAATTCTGAATCTGGGTTTTAACTGAAAGATTGTGGATAGTAAACTCTATTCCCTCAAACAGAATCTTTTCATCACTAAGCTGTCCTGCTGAAGGAAGGAAGTTGAATGTAGGAAACAGCTCATTTACTGATGTGATGCACTGGAATAATACTGTCTCTTCACCACCAGGAACAGCATCTCGGGTGGAACGTATGCTTGTGCAGCTCTTTATTTATTTAAAGAGGTTTTTGCCTTAGGGTGCATGTGTTCACCAGAAAGAGGGAGAGTGAGAAAGACAGAGACAGAGAGAGATAAAGTGAGAATTCTCCCCCTGGGGGGGATGATCATGAGGGTATTTCTTCTCCATTCTCCATTCTCCTCTCAGGATCTTGGGCACACACCATAGATATGCCTGTTGTGATTTTTAAGCCAACGGGTCTGGGACTTGAACCACAGTGGACCATGTGAGAGTCCAGCTACATAAGTGCTATGCCATCTGCTGGCCCCCAATGCAGCCCTGAATGATGGATCAGAGCCTTCACGCTGCTTTACTTGAATTAGTGGTGGTTGCAATTACTGTCTCCCTTTCTCCCGAATAGATTGCTAGTGAGATAGGGTGGAAATTTGTGCAGGACCTACAAGACCGAAAAGCTTGCTGAACTGACATAGGAATCGATGAATCGGAGCTGTGGTTGTCGTGTTAATGTAACTGTGGGATGCTCTGCTGGGCAAGATGTCATCGTGTGAGGCAGCAGACGGGGCTTGGAGCCAAAGCCACCTGACTGTGAGCTCGTGTGCCACAATTTATCAGCAGTACGATTTGCAACGGTTCCTTAAAGTCATTGAACTTCAGTGTCTTTATGGTAAGTGAGATGAGTAGTAAATATCTTGTAATGTTATGAGAACTGGAAATAGTTTATGTCATGTATCCACCAAAGTATGTGTTTGGTAATAAAGTCCAACAAGTAGTTATTATTACCCTGCAAAAACAGCAACAGTAGTGATAAGAGACAGCAACAAAATGAATTAATTTTTTGATATTTAAGTTTATTTATTGGAGCCAACGGCTGGCATGATAGTTGAAGCATTGGACTCCCACATGGCTGACCATGGTTTGAGTCCTGGACCTGGCAACTTGCTTTCTCCTCTCTCTCTCTATCATGACCTCATGTCCCTATAACAAATTAAAAGGTGATAATAATAAATAAAGTTTTTAAAAAGTAAAGTTTATTTACTTGAACTTTGGTAGGCTGTGTGGGGGTCTGGCGCCTTAACCACCATGCTACCTGCTGACCCCCATGGATTATCATTTTTAGTAATAAACCTTTTCCAAGAAACCAAGGAAGACACACAAAGTGAATATTTAAAAACCTTCATGTATTGGGTTGTTGGAAAAGTCGCGACATATTTCCTCCTATGCAAAAATGCGTCATGACTTTTTCAACAACCCAGTAAAATTTTATAATCATTTATATGAAACTGGTGATGAATATTTCAAAATAGCATTCTTAAAATTTAAAAACATTAATATTCTTGGTTGAATTCGTTAGCATTTCTCATGTGTTTTGTAGGCTGTCAAGTTATATTACCTCCATGTAACCTTTCGTGTTCTAAATTTCCCTTTTGAGACCTAATACAAGTAGAATTTGTGGATTTTTTTTTTTTTTAGAAAGAGGTCTTGGTGATAAATATGCACATTTTTTTCCTGGGAAATAATCTATAATAATTCACTGGTCTATTCTTTAGAATTTTGAGTCATTTCAAACCACATATGATTCACTCTAGATGAAGAATTTATTTTTTTAAAAAAAGGATTTGACTCAGAATAAATTTTAGTCTCCAAATTTTTTTTTTTTTTTTTTTTTTTTTTGCCTGAGTGCACATGTACTCACAAGAGTGATGGGGGTGGGGGCTTTGGCTCTAGAGTGAAAGCGAGGGAGAAAGTACCCTCTAGTGGGGCATGGTTATGCCACAATCCTTTCTTCTTCATCTCTGTGGAGAGCAACAATCTGAAAACATGTGATTAAAACATGTGGCCTATAGACACATGCAGATATGCACTTCCATAAGCTACTCTAGCAGGACTATTGAGAGGCATTTATATACCAAAGCAGTAACTGCCTGTTGTCAATGGCTGTCTTCCTGTTGTTGTTGATCCCCAATACCCCCATACTGCCCAGTATCGAGCTAAAGGAAGTCACATGCGTTTATTAGATTGTCCCCCCCAAAAGATTAGAGGAATTATATGGCACCAGTCATTTTTACATTTTCAGATGATTTACATGCAAAAACAACTGGTTTGCATTCTGATTTCTCCTCCCTTATTCTCTTTACATTCCACTTCCTTCTTCCCCATTCCTTTTGCATCCCATTTTCCCCTTCCCCCATTTTCTGCCCTTTAAAAGAATAAACCTGAGGCTGATTCTGGTCACAACTTCTCCATCAGAGAGGTTGTGCCCAACCAATCCTCTCTTTTCTATACTTGTATGTCTGTGTGTGTTTGTTATTGCATCTATTTCTAACTATTTCTAATCCACAGCCTTCCCCACTCAGAAAGACGTGTTCATGCCGAGCTGGTCCTGGCAAAGTGGCGCCCAACGTGGGGCCTGAGTACGGGGCA